GACTATGCAATAATGTCAATAAATATTACTATTTTAACATTAAAAATCAATATTAATCTCCAATAAAAAAATTATATAAGCCCGACAAATTATTGAGTAATTAAATTAATGTGATTTCGACCACATATATAAGACCGGGTCATTCTAGGTCAAACACATTTTCACATAATAACTAGGCCTAATTAAATAATAGGCCTAATATTCAATTGCTCAGTTGTTTAAGTTATTTGATCAAATTAACCATTCAGATAAATAATATATATTCAACTGCCTAAAAAAAATATATCCAACTAAACTTTAACAATCTTTTCAAACAAATGCCAGTTTTGAACATACATATATATAGATTTAAGTTTTGATTTCAACAAATTATAGCGTACAGTTTAATTTACCACAACTATTTAATTAGGTCTACATTTGGTTGACTAGCAAAATTAACGTAAATATGTGTTTTTCACAATTATCTATGATTTTTCGATTTATCTATATTTTTGTTTTCCTTTACGATCCATATTCCTTCTATTATAATATCTTCAAACACTTTTGAATTACAAATTGACTTATCTTGTTTAGGCAAAAATAATATATATGAATTAAGAAATGAAACGGTTCTAAACTAACCTTACATAACCAACCAAACTTTCTGTACCATTTCAACATTTCGTTTGATAACAGAAAAGGCCTGTGGGGAATATCAAACGGAATTTCGAAATGTTATAGCAAGTTTGGTTAGTTTAGAACAGTTTAATTTCAATACAATATTTTTTATCGTTTGTTGATACTGAACAATATTTTATTTATCGTAGTTGTCAGCTGATATGCATAAATTCGTCAATATCGATATATCGGATAAAAAATATCTATGTATCGAAAAAAAATCATCGATAATTAATTATGAATGTTCCCTTTAACAGGAACCGTTGTTATATTAACAATCCGGCACAAAGGACCAAAATAATAAATTAACTAAAATAATAACAGAATGTATCTCGAAAGCACTCGCAGCAAATCTTCAACATCAGTAGCTGAGTGCCTACAAACCTCTCTAACGGTGCGATCTAAGTACCTGAACTGCAGTGATTACCTGGATGTGCCACGCGTCGCCAGTGGGGCGTAGTCCCGCCCACAGGCGGAGCCAGTTTGCATAATTGTCCTTCCTAGTTTCCCCATTATATTAGATAAATACGGCAGATAAGAGTAATCGGGTTCCGTTTGTCAACCGAGCTGTTACCGCGGTGGCCGCTATTTACATAGCACCCTGTAGCTGTGCTAATGTGTGATGGCATCGAAACCAGTTGCGATCTTTCAACAGCCGCCAACGAGGTTTGCCTTAGCTTGTGTGTAAAACATGCTATTCTCAAACTGGGGTTCATTTTTGTGAAGAACAGAGAAATTAAATCGCATTTAGTCGATTTATAGATATCGTAGGAAGTTACTAGTATAAGTAAGTTCCTATATTTTTGCAATGCATCGTTCACTCTTCGATTCTACCCTATTACATCCTTAGTTCAAACACCATAAAACAATCAAACACACTTTAAGAACATTCTCAATTTTACTAACTGTGATGTGTAGAATTTGTACATCTTTTTTGTTTACATGATAGGTCTCACTGACTTGAGATGAGTATGTAAGGAATAACGACATCTTACGCCTCGATCAATAATTTCGAAGATTATAACCCTCTCATTTTATGTTGAATACCAGAATACCGATGGTCGAGTTTTTGCAACGGATCGTTCACTCTTCGATTCTACCCTATTGCATCCTTAGTTCAATGGCCCTAAAACAATCAAACACACTTTGAGAACAATTAGCCTTGTTTACGAATTGTGATGTGTAGAATTTGTACATCTTTTTTGTTTACTTGATTGGTGTATTCATTAACGTTGCACTGAGATGAGTATGTAAGAAATAACGATCTCACTCCTTAATCAATAATTTCCCAGATTCCCTCTCATTTTATGCTGAATACCGATGGTCGAGTTCACTGCGGTGCTGTGGTATTTCAACTGTCCACACTCCTCAACGGTTCGTCACGGCATGTCAACTCATCGACACGGTGTCACTTTCAGAATAATCGTCTTACGCAAGCCGCCGCCATTTTCCGTGAAACTGCTCAACTCGCATGTGAATGTCAAAGTCATTTCGAACTATTAGAGCACTAGCAATCCGTTTCCGAGATTAGTTGTGTCTCAACTCGTCGCACCTTGACGCTAATGAACTAAGATTGAAAATAAAACTAGGCAACGTTCGAGTAGATATTGGCAAGACATCATTCGATTTAACTCATATTTATGTAAAAAGGTGAGCGTTGGGAGATGCTTTCCTTGGATTTGATTTGCTTAGTGGTTTTCTAAATGTTAATTGCGTTTCACTTAAATACGTTTGTTTTGTTTTAGACAATTTCTTCTACTCCTTAATATACTTTCAGACAGACTCCCAATTAATTATGTTTACCTTTATTATGGTTTTGTCATATTCGGTATTAAATCTTCAAAACAAATTAAGGGCTTAAGTTCCCTCCCTTTACACTGGTAAATGTTAATTTTTTTCAATTGCTTTTCGAACCTTTTGAATTTATCTATTTGTTTTATTATCTTACGACACAGGTGATTCTACAACAATAGTAAGCGTAGTTAAACTCATAATTATAGACACAACAATACTGTATAATTGTTGTTACAATCCTCTCAAATTAAAACATCCAAGTTCGTCATTCATGGTTGAGAAAACAGGAAACGGCGTGGAATGTGCGGTATAAATAACAACTTTTACAATCCTCGTTTCCTAGTTTGTGAAGATTCTTAATTGTTGCACACGGTTCACATTGAGGCCAGACTAATAAAGGGGTAATCGAGGTGTGACTGAATAAGCAATAACATCAGACAACATAAAGCCAGGCAACTCGTAGAAGTACATACGTACAGTGGTCCGCAAGCCACTGTACAATATGTAAGCAGTGAAGGGGACATACAATACACATACAGGCAACAGCTACAAACTATTAAAGTGTATTCAGATAACGCAAATGACTAATGAAAGTAACATATCATGCTAAACCAGACAGAAGTAAGGGGGTACCCGGCGGAAAGTATACTCTAAACACAAAAAAAAAAATAGAATCCTATATGTTAGTTGTTTGGGCCAGAAACATGTCAAACTCAATGGAGGTTCTAGTGCAGCTAGCAGAAGCGTCGAAGACAAGCCAGACAACAGACAGAGGCGACTAGGCAACAAGTAGCAAGTAGCCAGAGTATCCAGACAACAGACAAGCGACGAAGGCAACAAGCCAGACAACAGACAGAAGTGACGAAGGCAACAAGTAGCAAGTAGCCAGAGTATCCAGACAACAGACAAGCGACGAAGACAAGACAGAGGCAACAAGTAGCAAGTAGCCAGAGTGTCCAGACAACAGACAGGCGACGAAGACAAGCCAGTCAACAGACAAGCGACGAAGGCAACAAGTAGCAAGTAGCCAGAGTGTCCAGACAAGAGACGGAGGCACGTCTGAGAGTGTGAGCGATTGTGCCAGTCAGCCTCGAGTACGGTTTAAATTGAAAATAAGAAGATTAGGGGACCGCAGCCTCTGGAAGCTGGCAACCCGGAGAAACTTTCCGTGGATGTGAAAATCGGTTGAGCCCGTGACACGGTGCCGGCGCGGTGAATGGATGAACGTGTGGTTTGAAGGACAACCGTGATCTCCCGGATAATCGGCCTCAAGGCTGGATGAAGCTGACAATGCGCTTCATTCATAACTCGACATGTTCTGGCCAATCAAACCTTCACGCTGTGTCTTCTGCCTCAGGGTCGCTGCCTCGACCGTGGCCTGGACGAGGACACATGGAATCCGGAATGTAACCTAAACTATGAAAATCTTATACAAAGTCCTGCTCAAAGAGTAAACGTTACCTCGTGTGACGGTACGTATTCGTTTTAAACGTATCAAGTGGGCAAATCGTCGGTAGACTTCTAAGGACTTTTTACTTTTCTTCCAAATCATCTCCTGTAACTAATCTTTTAAGGACATAATTTTAAGTATTCACGTGTAGTTTATATATTTTATTCAAACACTGGTTCCAAGGCAAATGGAAATCGGAGGTTAACAAGGCACTGACGAACCTTTTCCTGTGGACAACAACAACGTTCGACTCAATAATATGACTCTAAACATGCATAAGACCTACGTCACAAAACGCATCCTGTGTTCCCGATAAACCCGTTACCGGTACCTGGACACCCCGACATCAGTTGATGAATGAATAAATCTGTGTAATTTGTTGCTACCTCAATATAATCGCCACTTGCTCGCACACCTACCCACTTTCCGGCATATTTTAAACTTTGATTGATGAATTTGCGTGAATTTACGGTTTAATTAAGTTGGCACAAATAGCCTCAGTTGCGCCGCCACGGCCACGGCGCGATTTATGACTTAATCCGCGGGCGGGCGCAGAACGTCGGTTAATTGATGACTCTATGTCAGATGTGTAGTTTCGTCATAACGGAACTGTCAATAACTGTCAAACCCGCATTTTGTCAGCGATGTCATTCTAGTTGATAAGTCTAGTATCAAAGTCAAACTCCGTATCCAACAGTGTGTTTATCAAAGCTGTCACTTTTTCTGTTCCCAGCTCTTGGTAGTGGAAAAAAGTTTAACAAAATTATGCGAGTGATTTTTTCAATTCTTGTTATTTTAGTATGCCGTAGCACATTATAGGATTCATGCTGTTTTTGAAGGTATATTGTAAATAATATTTGTGTTGTTCAAAATAGAAAATTAATCGCATACACCTGTACGCATATACGCGTATACGCATACATACAAGGCGTTCTTTATTTTCCTCCTATATTTAGTGGCTGTTAGGTGAAATTGTTAAGAATAAATTATTGATGAGAGTTGGATACCTATTTATTTGTTTTAGAAACACAGATTGTATTTTGTACCTGTTATGTTAGATGTAATGTTTGTTTGCTCATGGCTGTGTGTTCTGTTACAGGTGTTCGGCTCCAAGTCCGACCTGCAGCTCCATTCTCAGCTGCACATGCGCGAGGTGAAGCCCTACAAGTGTTCGCAGTGCAGCAAGACGTTCGCCAACAGTTCGTACCTGTCGCAGCACACGCGCATCCACCTCGGCATCAAGCCGTACCGCTGTGAGATCTGCCAACGCAAGTTCACCCAACTCTCCCATCTGCAACAACACATCAGGACGCACACAGGAGATAAGCCGTACAAGTGTCGACACCCTGGCTGCAACAAGGCCTTCAGTCAACTGAGCAACCTGCAGAGTCACTCGAGATGTCACCAGACGGACAAACCGTACAAGTGCAACTCGTGCTACAAGTGCTTCGCCGACGAGCCTTCGCTGCTGGAGCACATCCCCAAACACAAGGAGAGCAAGCATCTCAAGACTCATATCTGCCAATACTGCGGGAAGAGCTACACGCAGGAGACTTATCTGACCAAGCACATGCAGAAGCACGCGGAGAGAACTGACAAGCGACCTCCCATCATCGGCATTCCTCGGGTCACCTTCGACACGCCTCACTACTGGCCCAAGGTGTCTCCGGATACGGCGAATAACCTGGTGGACGCTATGAATCAGCAGGACTACCACCAGAACGGACTCCTCCAGGAGCACATGAACGGCGACGAAGGAGCGCCGTCGGCACCGCCCCCCACCCCCGGGGCAGCCAGTCCTGTCAACTACCACGACAACAAGACTGTCACCTCCTCAGCGTCGGCGTTCACCCCTATACAGTCCATGGGCCTGCCCACACACCATCATAACCACCACCTCAACCACCACCAGATCTCCGACCCCCGGACCCCAGCGTACTTGTCCTACAACGCGCTGGCGTTCCCTGGCTCCAAGGTGGTGTCCTCGTCGTCGCAGCTCCAAGGGTTGGCCGGGGGAGTGCAGACTTCTGTGGCTATGGAGATGCCCAAGAGTATGACTTCCAACAGCTTCCCTAATCAACTCATCTCTCTGCACCAAATACGCAACTACGCCCATCAGCCCGCCCCGTCACTCATGTCCACAGAGCACATCCTCACAGGACTCAAAGACAAGACCCAATAATGTTACGCCCCCTACTCGTACTCGGGATAGGGACTCCCCCTAGAGTACGGGTGGTTCGACTGAACTCGGATTTGTTGGTTCTCAGTTTCAAAAACTGTACATTTAGAATATATTTTATAAATTATTACCCGAGCCCTGACGGGGTTGTTGTACAGAGTGATATTTTCTTGCCAGTTTACCCTCTCGAGTGCGAGATTGCGGGAGACTAACTTATGGTGTAATTTATGTGTACATTTCACAAATAAATCGTAAACGAAATCGCGAGTACAGGGGAACTAGTGTACAGTTACCGGTTGCATCTCTTATTGGAGTGGAACCGGACTTTGGATGAAACCAAATCTTTCCCCGAGTCCGGGAAAGTGATTGTGATTTATTTTAGCTATATTTAAGACTAGATTATTTGTTAAGTCGATTGTTTACGTTTTCCGCTGTGTACGCAGTCGCTTCGTGTTTCATTTTGTTCCTGTTAATATTGTCGACTGTAAATATTGTAATTATGCATTGTAATGCGAGATACTGTGAGCCCGAGCCGGGACTGAAACGTCGTCACTCGTCCAACTTATCATTTTACTAAGTATATTTTACGTTTGTAACCTCCCGTTTGACAGAGTGGTCATGTTTTTATCCCTGTGTTATGAGTGTGTCTCCAGCAGATGTAGTTTCGAATGTATTAATTTATTATGTTTAAGTGTTAACATGGAAGAAAACAGTAGATATAACCTTTTAAATCCATTTGAATAAAGTTGATTGGAATTATTGAATGGTTCCAGTTCAAATTAACCGCCATTTAAGTTTATAGGATGTGGAATTTATACATGCAATCTTTGTTTTGTTAGTTTTTAATACGTAAGTCTTGTTTGTTATTAATTGTTGAAAATTACTTTAATAATTCTAAAAATATTTTTTATTGTCAATCCTGAATATATAACCTGAATTGATTATCAAAAATAATGTGTTGGTATTGTCTTCTTTCAATGATATGCCTAATGCGCTCCTTATGCCTATGAGGGAATGCTTATGGAATTAAAGGGGTCGAACCTTGTGTTATACTATTATAATGAGACAGTTTTCAATGTAGTTTGAGTGATAAAAGCAATATAAATGTAAACTGTACTTTGTTTGTAACACTGTATTTCGTAGTCTGCTGAAGACACACTGGGCGAGATGTCTGAAGAATTACCAGTTTAGCTTAGCGAAGCTTTGACTCTCGGAAATGTTAATGTGATCAATTTTTTTACTGGATGTAGTGAATAGAAGCAGGTTTCCATTGTGTTCTAGTTGTCTGTTAATCGTTGTACAACTCAGTTAATTTCCCGGTTGATTGTTACGATACACTCGCATTCTGTAGCTCCACGAATGTTATTTTTTTATCGCCTCTGTTAATTGTGTACTAAACGAAAGTTGGAGGACTCTGACTATTTATATTTCCAAATATAATTTCTTCTTTTGTATTGAACCTGTGTTTTATTTTGTACCTGGTTTTAATGGTTAAAGTATAGGAACATTTGAGATTTATATATACTTAAACATGTTCCTTTATGGTAATCAAGCAGGCTCTTATATTCAAGCTTTTGCAGTCCGTCATTTTATTAATCATCAAGACTAGTTGTGTTCGGAAACAACTACACTTCACAGTAGCATTGACTTAATATCTACACTGGCTTTATATTCAAATGGCTGAGCCGTTTGAATAGGATGTCTAGTGTAGATATAAGGCAATAACAGTAAACTATGGTTCGTCAGGTGTTGTTGCAATTGATGACTAAACTTCATCTTTCCAATTGTAAAAAAAGAAATGAGATCTGTTTATTCAATTTATACACCAAAGGACAACCTTTGTGTAAATTAAAAGATACTTTGTTAACCAAACTTCTGTTTGGGCCTACACCTACATTTGTTTACACATTTTACCAAACACTTTAACAAAATATAATAAACTACGGAAAGATATGAATAGATATTATAAATTTGATAAAAACTGATAGGCCTCTATGAAATAAAAATAGAACTAATGGTTTTATGGGCATATCAGAATCTTTTATGAGAAGGCCTACATGAATAACACACGCTATTATACATTCAAATACTCTATCAAATAGGTGTGTATTCTAATAGCAAATTCTACTCCAAGCCATAGAATAAATATGTCTCTCTAAAACTTTTTACATCCTCAAGGGTCAGCTAAAATACAGCGCTTGAGTGAGTTTATATCACATGTAGATTATTATAGTAACATCAAAAATATTAAAACCAAATTAAATGGACAACCTTAAGACTATTAATTTTACTCTGGTTTTTTAGCAAAGAGTGAAGTGACTCACAATTAACGTTTACAACATACAGTTGTCATAAAATCACGAATATTGGAAAAGTAACTATATAGATAAAATACCCCCGCCGCAGCAAACCTGCAGACTAAGCGAATTTCCATATGTCTGATTGGATTTACACTAAAATGTCTACTTAAAAATTTAACATTTATTTCCTATTTAAATAGAATTATTTTAACAGGTACTTAGGTTTGCTGCATCAGGGAGGGTAAAACTTTTTTTTGTAAAATGTTAATAGTTAGTAAGAAATAAAAACATTTTCCAAATTTGATCAAAATATGTTCATAAACAAGCAAACTACAACACAGTTTACTCATTCTCCATAAGAATAACATGGGAATTTAAAATTTACATTTTTTTGGAATTTTCTCCGTAACCATTAGGCGCATAGTAACACTTCAATATACTAAATTATTTGTTTTTTTAAGCTCTACAAAATGGTTTGAAAAGATTTTGCAAAATTTTATTTTTTTTGGGTCAAAAATGGGAAAAACCTATTTTTACCCCATAAAACCCCCCGTAAACCCCCGTTCCCATAGTCCGATCATGCTGGTTCGCGAACTCGTTCGAGTTTATCCCGCCTTACACCTTCAAACCAAATTTTATCAAAATCGGACAAAAATTACTCAAGTTATCGTGCGGATGGACACACATAATATATATATATATATATATATATATATCTATATATAGATATATAAAAATTTGAACGAATGGTGTTTTTGGCCTCTGGGGACATCGAAATGAAAAAGTAAATCGGTCCCGGGCCTAGGTCTTACCATGAGACCTACGGTAATAGCTACTTCCCTATAGGGAAATTCGCTAAAACATAGGCAAACTTTCACTAGCCCTTAAGTAAACATTTTTTTGTTAATATTTAAATGGAACATAAAAAATAAAATTTACACAGCAATCCAAATAGTGTTCCATTGAATATAAAGCAATTTCTTTATATTACATTAAGAGCGTTAAGTCCCTTCCACAATCCTCCTTAGAGTCAGTAATTTTTATAAATTTTGACTGTATCAAATAGGTTTGTGTTTGTAATTCCAAAAAAATAAGGAAAATATTAAAAATTTATATGTTACTTCTGTGTATCAATTTGACCTTGCAAACAAATTTTGTAATCTTTGAGAGGCCAAACAGTTGTAAGTTCATAAACAAAATATATTTGAACGGTTAAAAATTGTACAAACCAGATGCTACGACTAGTATAAACATTTGGGTCAGTGACGTAATTTGTTTTATGTTTGTGATCCAAACCGTTTCTGTTCTAATAATCATGCATAAAATTACTAGAGTTACGAACGAGAAAATACACATATACTTGAGATGTTATATTGAAATGAAGTCTCCTTGCTGGATCCAAATTCTACTCCAAGGCCAATTTCCACTAGCGTGTTGGCAAATAAAGAGCACCTCGTTAGGACGTGTTTCCACTGATAATATAAACAAAGCTGCGTGGAATGTTTCCTTATTAAATTAATTGGGCATAATTAAATCAGCTGGCCACTGATAACAGGATAGACAAGTGCCTTGACCTTGGAATTAGAGAACAATATTTCTGTTTCTGAGCACATCACGCTACGGTATGGCTTCTTCAGCCAAGCACAGATGTGAATCGTAAGTACAATGTTTTTGGTATTTTTATTTAGTATAGTCTTTATCCGTCCATCTAAAATAATCCTAAAAATTTTCGTCAATTTTAGCTTACAATTAATATCAATACTGGGAACATTGTTATTTATATTGAATAACAAAATACCCCCGCTGCAGCAAACATGCACAATTAGCGAATTTCTATTTCCCTGGATCGATATTCAATTAAATCTATTTAAATAACCTTAGGTTAAACGAGTACCCAGGTTTCCTGCTACAGGGATGCTAATAAAATGTGTTTTTTAGTAAAATGTTAATAGCTTAGTATAAAATAATAAATTTGCCAAAGTGTGATAAAAATATATCTATAGACAGGCAAACAATATTTTAAAATATTCTCCATAAGAATAACATGGGAATTTTAAATTTACAATTTTTTGAATTTTCTCTGAAACCAATAAACGCACAAAACACTTTTGATATACTATTTTTTTTTAAGTTCTTTAAATTGTTGTAGAAAGAAATAGGGAAATTTTATGCTTTGATGGTCAAAAACGAGAAAACCCAATTTTTACCCCATAAACCCCCCGTAAAAACCCGTTTCCATCGTATGATCATGCTGGTTCATTTACTCATTCAAGTTTATCCCGCCTTACACCTTCAAACCAAATTTCATCAAAATGGAAAAAAAATATTTAAGTTATCACGTTTACGGAGACACATATACACATATATACAGCACGCATCCTATGATTGTCCTTTGATGGCATAGTTTGTGCTAAGTCAGTCCCCTATAACTAAAATAAGACATAAGTTTAATTCATTTAACGAAGACACAGAAAAACCATTCCACTCTTCAGCAATTCATTTCATGAGTAAATCGGTTAGATGCTGTAAGTATATTTATTTATATTTTGTAAGTTAAAACTTTGTTTGAGAATTTGCTTTGAATAATGGCAGAAATTGGGAAGAATGGATTCACTTGGATATCGTTCAAAGTACAGTAGTAGTATGAATCTTCAAAAATGTTACGAAGGGAGGTTCATGTTAATACTCAAATGAGATACACACTCGTTGCCACTTAGTTCTAACAGCAAATGACACATTGTGAAGTAATTTATGTTATATTATTTAAAAATGCAAGAATAAATGGGAATGCTGCCCCAAATAAAATTCACTTATTGTCTCCATGCTGGAACCTTCAACAGACTTAAATGCAGTAGTACGGCAAAGTACATATTTTACGTTTGTCCTCTTTTGAGAAACATGTTATCACAGTGCAGACAAATATTACTACTGTACTACAAAAAAATCTAAATATTACCACTACAAATAAATATATAGAGTGGAATATTACACAAAAAATCCCATAAGCTTTTATAGGCTTAAATATTAGAAAATGTCAATGTAAACAAAATTTAACCTTGTTATATCATAAAATTAATAAGGCTACGTGAAATGCCACGTTGTTTTTACACTATAACCTTAGATAAAAGGAGTATAGACATTTATACTCCTTTTATCTATGGTATAACTAAACCCTACGAGATACATGTCGCTGTGAAAAACAATGCCTCGAAGATTAAAATATCTGTACAAATGGCTATCTATTGTAAATGCAGTGTTAAACTTTTAGGTCACATTTTGTGAGTCCTTAATTCAGTATGTGATTTATTGTAAAATCATACTAAATAATATGTAAACAGTAACACAATCACCACTGAAAAGTCCTATACAAATTGAAGTTTATTTCCTATTGGACTGTCATTGACGCTAATATGTATAAAGATAGGATTTATAAAATGCAGAGACTAAATATGTATAATTCTTTATTTACATCTTATACAATGCTCTGATGAAAATACTTGGTTCTTTAGTAAAACCTAGCCGACCTAATGTAAATAGCTATTTAATTGCCTATTGTTTTACAACAGCAGTTTCAATGTTACATTTTATGGCGTAAGATGTACTGATTACATTAGTCTATGTTCATAAAATAAATAACTATTATTGTTATGGTTTTATGCATGTATATTTGTCCAAAAAATATGTTTTTTCTTCACAACATTAACTGTAAGCATAAATATATGGACGTTAACTAAAATAACCAAAATAACCCATTTTACAAAAATGAGGGTGAAAAAGTCTTTTTGAAATTAAATTTGTAATATCTCCATAGCATAAATTTGTGGTATAAAATATGTTTTCTTGAGCAACAAAATACTACCTGACTACATAGTGAAAGAGCTACACAAAAGCTTTATGTCATGGACAAATGTTATCTAACTTATTTTAGAAATAAATATTATATTTTACTTCTTTAGTTAACACCATAGTTACCTTAGTTACTATAATAAATTACCTTTCTTGGAATGATATGTTTAAACTTCGTCGACTATTTTTTTAATTTTAAATCTATTTATTTAACGTACACAATTTGCATTACCAATTTTGGATTTAATTTGAAGAGGTTAATTTGTCCATAAAGCTGTAAAGTTATTAACGATATAGCTTAGAGAAGTATGCA